AATAGTTTTTACGCTATTTCAATCCAAATTGTAATAAGATCCAGTTAGTGATCAGTAGAGTCAAATATAAATAAACATGTTTCATTGCTAGTTACCAGAGTTAAAAATTTGATTCATAGTTGAACCTAGGTTAGGTTAGGTCCAAAGTGAAAGGGTCTATTCGACCCTCCACCGCAACCCGCAAGGGTTTATTGTGACTCACACCTATTCACACTCGACCAAATAAACCCAGCTTCTTAACGAAGACGATTAGTTTGTGTGATGAATGGTCTTTCGGCTCAGATGGTAGGAGTATGGCTCTGCTGAACTCTAAAAACCCGATTCGGTCCCCTGCGGGGCAGGCACAACGTATGTGCTCTGCTGTTTCATCATTTTCCAAACAGAGGCGACACACACTGTCTTCCGACAGTCTGAGTCTCAGGCATAGAAGGCCTGAATTGAGATATTCGTATGACAAATGGTTAAGTTATATTCTGTTTTTTTCAGAATATCTTATTGTAACAGTATCAAGGCAATAGAGGAGTTTGAAGTGATTTATATTGATCACAAAACTCATTCCTTAGGATTCTCTTCATACCAAAAATGTAGTCATCTCGTTCACTTAGTATAGAAAAGGTTCCAATTTTACGTTGAATGAAATGATAGTTAGTTGTTTTAGCTGACCACTAGTTCAGCAAAACTGGACGATAAATTACTTAGAGAGTTCAAATTATAAGACTATGAGTATCCAGGTTTTGCTCTTTATGCAACACCTTTCATTTTGTTACTTTTAGAGTGCGTGAATTCCAACTATGATGTAAATATTACAATCACTAAATAAATAATTTATTCAAATAAACAACATCATCCATAGTTATAATGCCCTTTCTTTTTATAGCCATGATTGACGTAAATGACGTGTTCTGTTGGCTCTTTCTCGAAGACATAACTTCGTATCAACGCAGCCAATCCGCTGGTAAAAACCATGTTGTTCATCATGGATACCATCATGACGGCCATTTGTAGCTTTGGCATTATCCACGGCATGAGACCAGACATGAGGAATGCTGGAACCAACATGTACTGCATCATGTTGCTCATCGAAGTCTTCATTTTTCTTCCTTCGCCGTGTTTATCCTTGTAGAAGAGGGAAACCGCGAAGTCCGATAGTTGTAGTTCCATGGTGATGTTGCTGTAAATGAAACAAAAGAAATTAATATTTAAATCTCTTTCATCTCATAAACACAGCGAAATTATATATTGTTGTTAACAACTTGGTATCCCGTTTTTTCTTAAGTTTACATTTTTTCCTATATCAGTTTAGCTTGAGTGATTTTCTCATACATCCATGATTTTTATCATACGAGTATAGGGTCTTACAGAAAATGTCAGTTAATTTTGCCCTTTCCAGGATTCTAATAGCCATTGTAAAATGAATATCCTTTCCCAATCAGTTGAAAGTCCCCAAAAAACCAATCCAATGACAGCTTAGACTGAAATAACCCCATGTAAGCTGCTCTCGAAACATAAGAGGCAATACATTCATTGATTCTACGAAGCAGGCAAAGAGTGCTGGCCAGCTCAGTAGAAAGATCTTTGATGTGTTCTTTCCAATTAAGTTTTTCATCCAGCGTCACCCCCAAAAACTTAATGGATTCTTGACTGTCCTCCAGATCTTTTAGTGTGAACGTAAGTGTTTCAGTTTTCTTGACATTCAAGCTTAATTTATTGGCTGCAAAAAAATCTTCGATTTTTTTCAACGCGTTGGCAGTTAGTTGCTTTGGATATTCATGTTCAGGGTGACTCTCATAAATAGTAGTATCATCGGCATACTGAATCGTGTTGAGTGGGTTCATATGGTGTGAAAGATCATTAACATATATTAGGAATAGTAGGGGTCCCAAGATTGACCCTTGAGGCACACCTGCTGTTACACTCACTGCTGGAGATCTCACACTACTTCGTTCCACAACCTTCTTCCGTTCGGTTAGATAAGAATTGATCAAATCAGCTATTTTCCCCTTAACTACATAGTACGGATGTTCGGTCTCAAAATCTCACTATCGAAATTATTATGTTTTTCAAGTGAATCCTAATTTTTTAGTATTTAGCCTAGAGTTGCAGCTCTAAAATCTGGACAACAAACTAGACTGTTTTATGACATTATTTTTATTTTATGTATTGTTAACTAATCTTGTTTGAGTTATTTCATTTTTCATTATTCATAATCGAGGTTTTCCAGTTGGTCTCAAATTTACGGGTCTTTCTAATCCACTTATCTAATCCGTACATTTTCAATTCCTCAATTATTCCTTGTATCCCTTATCTTGGGATTTACCCGCTATTATGATCTCTCCTACCTATGTTAATCCAAACCTTTATTTATCCCTCCAAAGACCACTCTGACCCCTTCTATAACTATCGATGTGAAACATTGCATTTGTGTAAAATTAATTCATTACGTTTCAAACCTTGTAAGAGAACAATAATAATTGAATCTTGTCTTGTCTACAGTACATTTCAACAGTTATTTTTCTCAGACAAACAAGAGTTATTGTAATTCTTGTGTGCATTGAGCATTTATATTCACGATAAAACAATCGTACAATCGTGGGTCAAAACAACGGAAGTTTATCGAGTAGAATCGAGTATGACACACAGCTCAAACATTAATGAATTAGTACAATACAAAAAATGAATTAATATTGTTGTTGTTGATGATGATATGATATACAAGGTCTGTTAAAAAAATAAGATGACTACGTACAGTCGAGTAGCGATTTTTAAATTATTTTGAGTTGGTACACTCAGTATTGTCTCCAACCATCTTTTTATTTTATTGTATAAAATTAATTCATTAAAAAAAAAAGAAGAATCCAATATATTGCTTTGCTAATAACAGCACACTCGTTTCGTCATTCCATTTGGATTCCAGGACATCAGCTTCGGAGGCACATCTTCACCGGCAGCAGGAGGTTGCATTTAGTGAGGATCTAGAAGTGATTTCGAATTGGGGTGACAGTAACCAGGTTCAATTCAATGCCACAAAAACACAGGCACATCCGAACCGGATATAATAATGTCAGGTCAGACAATTCCGTTTTCTGCTTCGATAAGTTTGTTAGGGGTTTAATTGGACACCAATATGTCGTGGCACAATCATGTCGCTGGAATACCGAAGGCTGCTTGTACAAAACTTGGAACACTATTCTGAATCAAAAAACTTCACACACCTCAACAACTTTCGATGCTTTATAAAGCTCAGATAAGACCTTATTTGGAGTATTCTTCTCATGTAAGGAGCTCTGCCCGCAAACATATACTGAAGTTGCTGGATTCCATCCAGAAAAGGGCCATTCGCCTGATTGGAGATGCGAACATCACGTGCAACCTTGATAGCCTGGAATATCGGAGAAAGGTTGGAGATCTGTCTCTCTTCTATAGATAATTTCACTAGAAGTGTTCAAGTTACTTGGCACATTTGATTCCACCAAGAGCGGTTCATATCAGAAATACGCGACGGACTGTAGCTGCTCATCGTTTTGAGGTTCATTACACCTCGAAACCTGCGTTCCTGAGTGAATTGCTGTGCTGTGAATTGCTACTGTAGTGCTTGAATTTTTTCCTTAAAAAAACTTGAGTAGAACATATGTTCACAGTTTCAGCTGTTTAACACGTTTAGTTTTTTTGGGAATTAAGTCAAAAGTGCAAAATTTATCGAAGTGAACTGAAAATTTCGCCTTTTCCACACAAATATGAAGTTCTTCAATACAATTTTAAAATTGTGGAAGCTGAAAAAGCCACGACTAAAATATAGGGATTATTTTGATGAAATTCGAAAAATTTGTATCTCCCAGATTTTCTACATATCAGAAAAAAATTACTTTCCCGGATAACACTATGACGGATATTAGATTATAATCGATGATAAAGAGAGTTTTTGGCTTTCTACTACTCCATTTCGATACGAAAAAAATGTGGCAATCTGCCAAAGAAAGGAAGGAAGGAATCAATTTCAAAAAGAAGTAACTCTATACATAGATGTGTAGATCATGCAAACAAGTAACTTTCAGACACAAACTGGAAGAAAAACCCCTCCTGAAACAGCTACTTTCATTCAAACATACTTTCGAAACAGGCCTACTAAGAACTAACTCTTTGAAAGCAGATGTTTGAAAAAACACATATCTGAGCCACACAGGACCAGAAGAGTTCATTAACTTAGATTTTGAGAGCCACATACCTTTTTGCTAGTGGTTCCTGGAAAGGTGTAACCAAGTGGGTGATTTTTAGTCAAATTGTATTTGGAAAGACGAAGCTTATGTGAGAAGGGCCGTCACTGCTACAATTTTAATACTTGGACACAACAGAATCCTCATTCTATTGTGAAACAGAGAAGTTGAGGAAGATTGGATTCAACGTGTGGGCAGGTAATTTCAGGGGTAGAATTATCGGCCCGATTATTTATAATGGCACTCTCACATCTCAGACGTATTGAGAAATTTCAAGGCAGAATATTGAATCCCTTGTTGATGAATTGCCACTAATGAAGATCAGAAAAATATGTCTCCAACAAGACGAAGCTTCTCCTCACAACAATGCAATTGTCACCAATTTTTTGGCTGTAAATTTTGGTAATAATTGGATAGCCAACCAAGGACCCAACCGTTGGCAGGCTAGGTCACCAGACCTAACGTCTATGGAGTTTTACCACTGGTAGAGGTTGAACAATCTCATTTCTGAATTGCCAATCAATTCTAGATACGAATTGGAAGCGACAGTGATGCAAAGATTCGCTTCTCTCATTCCTATTGAACTGTTTAATTCGGCAGAAAACGTTCAGAAAATGTGTTGCCTGTGTGTAGGAAAAGCTGGTAGACATTTCGAACACCTTCTCTGGAGAAATATATTTCATTGTTTGTTCTTTATTAATATTATTGTTGAAGTTTCATTCATTAGTAGTAAATATAATGTAAATTGTTATCAGTTTTATTGAAACTATGCGTTTTAATTGCTACTGTGAAAAGCTTTCTCAACTGAACAATTTCTTTCTTTTTTATCGTTGCGTCCTCCTCAGCCTACTTGATCAAAGTGTGCGTTTCAAAGTCTACATGAAAAAAAAACCTTAAAGCTCTGTATTTCAAAGATGGCTCTAGCAGAACATCAACTGTGCTACATTTCTGGAAAGGTAATTTTAAATTCTATCGAAATATGTAGGGTTATACAGTGTGTGTCATTGAAAAATTCATTTTCCATCAATAACTATTGATATATCAATAAATTGATGGATGTAGCCGTTACTACATGGTAGGAAATCATAATGAAGAAAAGAGAAATGGAACTTTCTATGTTTTTTACCACTTTTATTTATAACTAACGTTACTACAGTTTCATCCTATCAGGACATTTTCAAACTTATACATCTAACAGTTTAATGTATAAGTTTGAAAATGTCCATATAGGACGAAACTGTTATAGCGAAACACGTGTCGCGGTTTATGTAAAACCCTTTATAGTGAAAATCATACAATGAACTTTATTAATTTTAGTACGATGATAGATATTGATATGAGATTTTCACTATTATCATGAAATTTGACCCTCAGACACAGTTAGTTTTCATCTATCTAGTTTGGAAACAAGAGTTTCCCTTTGAAAGTGTCCAATTTGGAATATTTATATATCGTGTATAGGGTATACATAAATATTCCATTTGGATTGATGAATATAATAATATTGAATAAGTTTCAACCACTTTTGTGTAATATCCATGAATCAACTGAAAAATTCGATAGTTTCTTCGAACAGTGGTTGAGCTTAATTTAATGTCACAAATATTTACCTGGACAGATCCATATGATCCTTCAAATAGTCTAAATAGTCACTTGTCACATTGTCTTTCGGATAATCACTCCCACTCACTGCTTTCAGAGAAACGTTCTTGGCAAGAAAATCTCGATCGCTTCCATTACCACCCAAACAATTACGAATATTTTCTTTATTTATCGACTGATAAGTTTGACAAGGATCTTTCACACCTCTTCCGTGAACGAAGTTCAGAATAAACACGATGTACACTTGTCTTATGTCCATTCTTGGTCGTTGACGCCGAAGAAATGTTAGCTTCTCGTTTTTAGCGGTTGGTAACCTACATTTTCCGGTTGCAAGCCGAAGATATGTTGAATATTCGACCGGTGTCGATCACATTTAATGGTAATTTGGCGGAGTAGGTTATCCATCGAATATTTATTAATGAATTATTAATGAAAGAAATGTCTTGTGGAAGTGATATTTCGACGGTATCCATATTTTTGAGTGTTTAACGACTGATTTTATGGTGGGTTTCGATTCTCTATCGAATGCTATCGGAAAACAAGTTATGATGCATTCAGTTTTTTATTACAATTAATGCGGTTGAACCCGAATTGGTACAATTTCTGCATATTAGTGCCGTTGCAAATATGACACTTTTTTTTAGCTTTTTTATATAATTTCTTTATTCCTTAGAAAGTATTGAATATACAAAAAAATTGTGAACCCTGGCAAAAAATTTGTGACACCTGGGAAAGAAAGTCATTGGCCTTCTACTTCTTCATCTGATACAAAAAAATATGGGACTTTTCCAAAGAAAGGAAGGAAGATTATATTAGTTTGTCGGGGAGCTAGCCCATGGTCTGATTCACTTCGTCCTTTTCAGATCTTTTGTGATGCTCTTTGGTTATTAGAGCTCATTGTCTAGCTTGATCTCTTTGATGAGACTCCATAGCCTTGACACTGACCCCTTCATATAGCTGACAGCCTCTGGTTTCTCTTCCCCGCATCTTTCGTGTCTCAGCCTTGCTATCGCTTTGCAATCACAGATCATATGCAGTGCGGTTTCTTTCTCTACTACTACACTTACAATCTTACGGTTGTGGTTTAGCAGGTATTCCGTGAATCTGGGCGATGGTTTCTTTATGAACTCTTCCGCCTGCCTCATTCTTGGGAGCTCATTCCACCAATCTATCGATTCGGCTTGCATTCATGAGTTTATGGATGTCTTTATACATGCTCTCGCTACCACACAGAAGGGTTCTGGACCAATTATTTCCTTGGATGCGCCTTGATTGTTTTTTTGACCCTCATCCAAGCTTGAGTGACCCTATTTTGGGTACTTAGCTCCTTGAGTGCAGTCAAACAGCTTCCCACCAGTCTTGAGGAGACTGGAAATGAGCTGAGCGCTTCAATTGCCGCCGGGCTGTCGGAGAAAATGGTAATGGTTTTATTTGTGACCTCCTGCCTGTTTATTTCCGCTATACAATGTTCGATGACCGCTACTTCTGCCTGGAACAGGCTGAGGCTGAGTGCGATTCTCGTCTTTGCTCTACCTCCATATACACCGGTTCCCACTCCTTCTTGGGTCTTTGAGCCATCTTTATACCAAGTTTCTTCCACTTTTACCGGTGGGCCGTTTTTGCCAGTCCTCTCTACTAGGTATGATGGCTTTGAAATCTTTTTGAAACCTGTACTGCGGAACTGTGTTATCCACGGGCATTCCTGGTATTAAATCTACTTTCAGTTCATTGTACAGTTTCAAGTATTCTGCACCTTGTGACTGGCTGAATGGGATTTGTCCCTGCATCAGCCTGGGTGTCACCAGTCGAGCTTCTATTTGTATCTGGATGTGCAGTGGTGAAATGCTACAGTTGGGATCGTTCTCATGGCTCCCGTGACATTTAGGCACGTCAGCCTTTGTATGCCGCCTAATAGCCTAGCCCGATTGCTTTGTTCTTATCCACCAAGCCACTACACCGTATGTTATAATGGGTCTCACTACCCTTGTATATAACCAGAGTGTCATTTTTGGGTTCAGCCCCCAGTTTTTCCCGCACATTATTTTGCAGATTCTCAGGGCCATCCTGGACTAATGTACTGTTTTTTTTTGGATGTGGAGGTTCCACTTCATTGAGTATTGGTGGTTTTAGTCCTCGCATCACTCTTTTTCTGGTGAACACGTCATCTCGAAGCGCATGCTCTTTGCATGCGCTTCGAGATGACGCATGCAAATTTCCCTTTTGTGACATCACCAAATCGTCAGCATATCCCACATAGTTTTCTGAGGAGCTTGTCTACTAGTGTTTTCCATAGCAATGGCGATAGTATGCCTCCTTGTGGGCATCTCTTCTCTGCTCTTACCTGTATGGTAGCCTCTCCTAGGGTGGTGTATATCATCCTTCTTTCTAGGAGGGCTTTAATACATCGAAACACAATAGCTGGTACTCCTCTTTTCCCAGTGCGTCTCTAAGTGACTCCGTGGAGACATTATTAAATCCACCTTCGATGTCTAGAAAAGCAGCTACTGCCATTTCTTTCTCGTGCAGCGACTTAGATCGTAGTCTGTTTAGGTCGTCCAGCGCTGAATCTGTCGATTTCCCAGGCTGGTTTGCATATTGACGAGCACTAAGAGGTCATTCCTTCAACGTTTCGTCTCTTATATATGGACCCAGTAACCTTTCTACGGTTTTCATGAGGAAGGACGTTAGACTGATAGGTCTGTATGTTAGGAGCAACCGCCCTATATATCGATAGTCCAGTTATGCGTAATGAGGATGATTCATGGAAGTAGCTGTTCATCGGGAGATATTATTATTAAGTAGACTAGAGTAGGATACGTTTGTTGTGGCGAAACATTATTTGGGGAATATATTAGTTGTTCAGAGTGAGTTACACCAAAGAAAAACACTTTCGAAACAAATAATTTTATTTAAATGCTGAATTATATGAAAAACACTTTTCTCTATTCCGTTTCCAAACATTCGTAATGAAATTAATTTCTCCCAAAAATATACCTTTTCAATATAAATGTAAAACGTATTGCAAAACAAATCAAAAAGTAATGTGTGCTATATCGTCAAAAAAAATTTAGAAAGTCACTTTCAGTGTTACAAACTCTGTTCAAACTCTTTTTTTTCCGTTAACCAGTTGTCACTCCTCTACGAACGACAACTCTCAAAAGTCGAAACTGTTGCTAGCTGAGGACTAACGAGGTCTCACCTTTTGATGTGTGATTCCTAGCCGCAAATCTTGAACACATTACTATTTAGTGTTAGTTATAATCAAATATTTGTATTTTTTAATATATTTGCGTGGCACGCCGTTTTACTTTCTATTGGTATTTTGTAAAAATGAATTGTTCTGATTGTTGTTTTGGCGTATAAGATTATTATGGTGAATCAAAAAGCCATTATTGACGTTGTTTTTAGTTACCGTTGTTCAGTTGTTGTGCATAACGCATTATTGAGGTAAATTCTTTTAAACAAGGTACCGTGACTCCAGTAGGTAGTAACGCAACAGAGTAGAAAATTTATAATAAACATATAAACGCACCTATCTAATTGAGTTCAACCAAGAAGTTTTTATTTGGAACAAGAGTGAGAGAAATTTCCAACCGTGGCCGAGGATGACTGATAATATCTTCATAGGCTAGGTAATAATAGTAATAATTCTGGCGAACTCGCTTCACCATAACATCTGGTCAAGCAAGAGTCCAAACAGGGTGGGTCACTTTCAGAAGGGGTGTATTTCAGGGTGATTCCCTCAGTCCCCTTCTATTCTGCATCTCACTATTGCCATTATCCGTTGCGCTCAGAAATACTCGAGGGTATAACTGTGGCACCCCCGGAAACCGGAGGCACAAGGTCACCCATTTGTTTTATATGGATGATCCTAAATTTTATGCCTCTGGAGAGAAGGATCTCCATCAGTCCTTGAGGGTAGTGGAAGAGTACACGCATGCTATCGGTATGAAATTCGGCATCGACAATGTGCAATGGTCCATCTCAACAGGTGACGATGCGGGGACTACGGAGAGGATGTGCAGCTCGTAGATGGAAGCATCTTACACCATCTGGATGCCGGAGAGACGTTAACTTACTTCAGGGTGGAACAACGCCACTCACAAGAGGTAACAGCAGTGAAAAACTCTCTCCACGGCAAGTATCAGCACAAACTTCGACAGATCTGGTCATCGGAGCTGTCGGGGAAGAACAAAGTTGCTGCAACAAATATGCTTGCCGTTCCAATCTTACTCTACTCGTTTGGAGTAGTGGAGTGGACTCGGGAGGAGCTGTATCAACTCGACGTAAGGACCCGAAAAATGATGCATCTCTTTTCAATTGTCGAAAAACGCCGTCCTCTCATGGGCCTCTTCAATCTTGTGAGCAGAAAAAAAATCGTACAGTGTCAACTCTGGTGAATACGGTGGCTAAGAAAGAAGTCAGGAAAAAGTCGCAGGGGGCCAAATCTGGTGAATACGGTGGCTGAGGCATGAATATGGTGCTGTTTTTTGCAAAAAAAATCCAACAATCAATGGCGTGAGCAGGTGTATTATCATGATATTAAAGCCATGCATTTTTTTTCCACAATTCTGGTTTTTTTTCCGTATTGCCTGTGTAAACGGTGATAATCAAGATAATTATTTTCATTGACCGTAAGACCATGATGCAAGAACTACTGATGCACTACTTCACGATAATTGAAGAAAACAGTGAGCAGCATCTTGACATTTGATTGAATTTGGCGTGCTCATTTGGGTCCTGGCTCTCCAGTACAAGGACTTTTATAATGAATCATTTTTATGTTTTCGAACAATGAGTAGTGAATTTCATTTGCGTTGAATAATTATTTTGTATCATTTATAAGCGCAATTCAAGCCTTTTTCGGACTTGCCTTACATCCAAAATTTGATGTGGAGAAATTCGCATCTGGTGACAGCAGCTGCCAAATTTTATTTGAATAAAACAAACACAGCAATAGCAAAAGGGTTACCAAGGGTTGATAGACACTTAATGACGTATTATTCCACTAGTGACTCAGCTATAAACCCGTAGATGTTTCACTGAGATACGTATATATAATAATAATAGTAAAAACGTTCCGGATTTACTACAATTATTATTTCGTACACATGTTTGTCTTTACAATTCACTGTCTTTACACCATCTTCATATTGTTTCACTACATGTTTCGTCGACAAGACGATAAAGTATATTCATCATTATTTTTTTTTTATTGAAACGGTTGTGCCGGTTGAACCCTCACCTGAAGCTCCGATACATTTGAAGAGTTACCTCACACTGTGAGGTAACTGATCATTGGGTTCAAGAATCATGTGCCCTGAACAGGAGTGAGCCAACGTTGACAGTCTTCTGCATTTTTCAGCACTGTCAGTTTTGATGTGATCCTTTCCACAGGAAATGTTTCAATCATCTAAAAAATGTTGCTTTCAACGAAGCAAAAACGGTTCGGAAACTTCAGATTATATTAAATTCATGATATCACCAGGGTTCAATGTCACTTGCCAAAAAATGTAACCTCGTTTTCCCAGTTAGTTCGTGATTGACACCGATGTCATTAGTATCCTACTTATCGATATCAAAAGCCCGACATCTAACTGCACATTATCACTAAATAAGAATCTGATCAAATTCTTCAAGCCATTGTTCACACGTGACAAACATTTTCAATACGATTTCCCTATTGTGAATACAAAAATGGGTGGTATTGAAAACATACCACTATTAATCGATCAGTTTTCTTGAAGGACAGTAGTTGATAGTCGTCATGGAAGTATTCAAGAAATTGTGTTCGAAGTTGGTTTTTGTTTTCGTGTTTTGTGTTGTTGTTTCTAATGCAACAAGTACTAAAACCGAGATAACAAAGAATGATGCTGGAGAATTCGTTGGGAGGATGATGGAGCAAGGTTCGTGGAAATATTTTTTAAATGTTTGAATCTCTACATTTCGAAATGTTATTCTTGTGCAGTGTATACTTGACAAGTAGTTTGCTTGCCATACAATCAAAAAACAAGACTCCAAAGATAAGAATCTGTACTGAATTTCAAGACATAACAATGTTTTTCCAGTATGATGGTATGAAATGCTTACTGTATGTGAACACAAACTATTGATGAGAGTCTTGCACGTTGGATATAAAATGTGGGTTATAAAAATTTAATGATTCCATTTTTCAACTGTAGGTACATATCGTATAATTTTTTTTTAATGTGAATTTTTACCTCAAATCATTCCAAGCGATGTTTTTCTTTAGTCAAATGATATATTTTTCTAATGATCCTATTGGAAACATTTAAATTTTTTGTGGCACTTGCAAATATATATCGACACAGACAAGTAATGATAATTATATTGTTCAAAGTTACATGGATGATATCAGCACAGTAATAATTATTCAAGAAATTGGAGGTCTAAACCATCAAGTAGAATCAGTTTCAGTTTTTTTCGAAAAGAATAGATTGACATATGTTTCATTTCATTGGGGATAGCATTATAAATTCAATCTAATATTTTATCTTTGTTTAATTTGATCAACTACATATTATCAAAATCCTGGCTAGAATATTACTGTGTGTTCGTTTGAAAATTCAAAAGATTTGTGTTCATTTGTTAGATCTGAGTGTGGTTAGAACGTCATGTAGGAAAAATATTTCAAAAGAATAAAATAATAACTGTGGCAAGCATATTTATTTTGAAACTCTTGACAAACAAGAGAATACTAGAAATCACGACCTACGATCAGAAGAACATAATTATGATACTAGGAAAAACAATATGCTCACAACTCAAAAACATATCTATACAAAATATGAAAAGTCTGTTGTGTTTGTTGGAACGAGTATTTATGATAAATTGCCAAATAGTATAAACATACTGCCACCAATTGTCTTTAAACAAAATCCTAAATCATTCTTATCGACAAATGGATTCTATACAGTGGACGAATTTTTATTTGAAGTTGTAAATATTTAATATTTCTTACAATACTCTTTATCTTATTTTATCATGTACCGACTGTTACCATATCTGATTGACTAAGGCTAATGTTGATGTGAAGCTAAGATTTTTATGTATTCGTGTGTATATATATGAGTATATATGTATGTTCATTCAACACTTCGTAGGATACAAAATAAAAGTAGTTATTGTTATTATTATCACATATGAATATAGACTGACGACAGATTCCTTTATGAGCCTAAAAAACTAAAGAGATCAACTTGTTGATACAATGCATGCAAGAAGAAAGAAAAATAATAAATATATGCATGGAAACGATTGAGCAAATAAGCAAATGTCTATTTTGTTTTCAAAACAATTCACTGAATCAAAATTCACATCACTGGGTAAGTTATTCCATGTTTTGAAAATACGATTCACCAAAGAATATTTCTCCTTTTTTACTTTGAGTGTCTGACCACGAAAATGCGAATCATTGTTGAAAACAAAAATTTCTTTCTGCTGAGCATAAATACAGGGTGTAACTGAATAAGTGTATAACATTAAGGGAGATGATTCCTCATCGATAAAAAGATAGGATCTTTCATATGAAGAAACTTCATTGGAGCATTCCTTGTTAAGACACAGCCCCTTAAAGGGGGTACATAAAATTTGTATAACAATTTTTTTCACAAGCACTGAGAAAGTTACAATATTGAAATTAATCTGACGTTTTATACTACCAAAAAGACACTTAGCCAGTAATTTATTTGGTTTACCCCAATGTAACTTTTTGTCTTATTATTTGTTTATCATTCAAAGATTCATTTCTGATAGCCTGTTTCATTCTTAACAAAAAATGTCTCTTGGGTTTTTTGCCCAAAATAAACCAGTTCGCAGCAAAAAATTATTTTACGAACAACTACAGAGATACATCGTCATAAATGCGAACTGGATTTATTGTTATTTTGTAGTTAGTACCTGCATTAAACGATTAAAGGGTAATAAACAAAACTAATTTAATAATATCAAAACACACGACATGTAGAAATCATAGTAAATGTTCAATATGTCTACCTTCAGACATTACGCATGCCTCTAGACGTCGGCGCATTGAGCCACGTATTCGCTCAAATATTCCTGGAGTCTCTCTGATTACCCTGCACGCATCGATTATGCGGTATTTCAAGTCCTCTACATCGTGAACAAGAGTACGATAAACCAAATGCTGTAAATGGCCCCAAATAGAGAAATCGAAAGGATTGAGATCCGGGGATCGAGCGGGTCAGTTCTGTGGTCCTCCTCGACCTATCCACTGATTTGCATATGTTTCAGTTGAAGGCTGACGTGCTACTTGACTGAAATGGGCGGGAGCCCCATCATGCTTAAAAAATCATATCACTTCTGACGCCCAAAGGAACTTCTTCCAGCAGTACTGGATGCACTCCTCTTAAAAACTGAACGTATGCCTCACCATTTAATCGAGGAGGTAGAAAATGAGGCCCTATTAAATCATACCCAAAAACTCCGAGCCACACGTTAAGAGAAAACTGTTCTTGATGGTTAGTTTCGACAATAGCGTGAGTGTTTTCATCAGCCCATTTGTTAATTATGAAAATTAATAATCTTGTCCCAAGAAAAACTACATTTGTCTGTGAATTCTATCGTCTTCAGGAAGTCACAATTTCTTCTAATCATTTCCAGCATCCAATTGCAAACTTCAAGACGGTTCGGTAAGACTCGCGGTAGCAGTGCCTGTACTCGTTGCAGATGGTAAGGGTATAAGAGTTGTTCCTTCAAAATTCTAAATACCGTCATATGATCAACATTTAGCTGGAAAGCAATCTTTTTAGTACTGGTAGTAGGTTGTTCTTCAAGCTGTGGTGTTCGTACTTCTCAATGGCGACCACAATCCTGCGTCAATCAAGTTACAACCTGTATATTCAGCTATACGAAAAGATATGATGAGGTCCCCACAGAGTCGACGTTGCTCAAAAGCTATTAGTTGTGCCATCCTCAGTCTTTCGGGATGGGTTGGACGCACTTCATCAAAAGTCATACGCGTGGCTCGACGCTGAATATTTTCCAACAAGTTCTTATCGCACATCAGAACAGAACACCACACCGGACCTGCATACTCTATAATTAGACGAACGTAGGTTTTGTAGAGTTTTATGGGACTTGAATATGATAGATGGTTGAACGTTTTGCAGATGAGGTAGATCAGTGTCTTGGCGCGTTTGCATGTGGATATAATATGTTCAGAGCAAGTTAGGTCAGTATTAACAGTCACATGTGAGGACACTATACGTAACGATTAACCGTTTATTGTGTACGTGTGGGTAGATTGTTCTTTCATTGATGGAATACGATGCATTTGTCGACATTAAGAGATAAAAATCAATCCTCACACCACTGACTATTCGAGTTGCGGTCTTCTTGAAGGAATTGATGTTGATGAATAAATAAATATCATTTGACAAAAATGAAAATTCACTTCAATTTCTGAACATACCTCGTACAAATGCCTGATTCAGCGATGCACAAAAATGTCGAAGCAAAATTATTTGTTACTTTGGATTTTCGAGTCTCAAATATATCACTACCATTTTTTTAGGGCGAACCCTGGTCCACCACGCTATGAAGAGGTTCATGATCATCTTACCTGCCATATTCTTCAAACTGGGAATTGCTTTCACAATGCTCGTCCTGGTAACTATAGTTTCTGTCAACAACGGCGTAATTGGATTCCTGCTCTTAGTGGTTGGACTGAGCAGCGTGTTGGCCAGACTTCAAGGTTCTAGCAAGCCTGCTGCGGTACCATACATTAGTCCAGTTCCGGTATTTCACAACCGGTACTACCAGGATTGGGATAGAAGAGACAAAGGAAGTGAAGAGACTTCTTCGAAAGGTTACAACCAGGGACTGACCTACAGTCAGCAGTATACTTATCCGCAACTCGGTGCTTATAATCCATCCTACTTTGTACAGAAGACATGAGGATTCTTCGATGACGCTTTTATTTATAATATTCTAGTCGTAGAATTAATTTATATCATTCGAAAATATATCACAATTATGGCAGTGTAAGACAATTTTTCCCCAGGACTCCTTCAACATTGTTATCCAGTGATTGCCTGTTACAGTATCTTTCTAAATATTACTGGAGTTTTATTCCAACACCAAACCGTTATTTTAAAAACCATTATTTACTTATATGAATCCCAGGATGGCAATAGTCTTGCTTCTGAAATGCCCTCTGCAGAACTGTGTCACGCATAAATTTCTGGGGATTGGTCTTCTGTCAAAAAATGCTACTCCTTCTGAATATATCTTCATTATTCCAGATGCTATCGTGACAACTGATTTCGAAGAGCAATGAAACATTTATGTTAAATTGATGGATGTAGCCGTTACTACGTGGTAGGAAATCATAATGAAGAAAAGAGAAATGAAACTTTCTATGTTTTTTACCACTTATTTGAACTTATACAAATTGACACTCTACAAATTTTCATTTTGAACTGATTAATAATTTCAATAAATTGATGGATGTAGCCGTTACTACGTGGTAGGAGATCATGATGAAAAAAGAAATGAAAATTTCTATGTTTTTTACCACTTTTATTTGTAATTAACGTTACTGCAGTTTCGTCCTATACGGACATTTTCAAACTTGAACAATAAACTAATAATGATTCATTACATTCGCCTATATATACCATTCAGGTACTTGATTGAGTACCTGAATTTACAATTCACAATGCGCATGTCCCAATTTAAAAACCGGAGAGTAAATAGTACAAGTTAGTATCGTCTGCATATGTATGAATGTTGAATAACTTAAGGACCTTGGAGTCAGATGTGTAGATAATAAAGAGTAGCGGGGCGAGATTTGAACCTTGCGGGGCTCCATGACATACACTCATATTATCAGACTGACTATCCTTTATCACAACACGTTGCTTTCTATTTTAAAAAAATGAACTAAAGAAGTCACATGCCTCCATACTGAAACAAAAATAACAAAGTTTAGCGCACATCAGATCGTAATTCATGGTGTCGAAAGCCTTACTGTAATCGAGAGACAAGAAAAGAGTGACCTCTTCATTATCAGTAGCTGAAAAAATATCGTCGGTCATTTTCAACAGAGCACTAGATGTACTGTGATTTTTCCGAAAACCAGATTGGTGTTCAGGCAGGATGTTATTATCAGAGACATAAGAGTATATCTGACTATAGGCTGCCTTTTCTACAATTTTTTATATTGTCGGTACTATATTTATGGGCTTCAAATCATTTGGTGTCAAAGGTTTAGAAATTTTGTTTATAGAAAAAATTATAGATTGTTTCCATAGTTCCGGAAAGATATTGGTTTCAAGGCATTTGTTGACTGAATATGTAAGAATTGGAGTTACATGGAGAGTAAAGGACACATATGTTGGTAATTTTGACACATATCTCATCTGATCCGTTAGCATTCGTTTCTATGGAGTTGACTATCATGTTAATATCATCCATATTGATTCGATGGAATTTAAAAGTTAAATTTTCTAGAAATTTCTTTGTTTTTTAAAGAAGTTAAGAAGATTATCCGGAGGTTCAGTCGCAATTTGAGTGACCGAAGTATTAAAGTGATTGTTTATTTCATTAGGATTAGAAAGATGTTCAGGAATATCTTTTCTGTCTTTACGATTGACAATGTCAAATAATTGTAATGTGTCCTATAGATGTTTAGCGTTTTATTGATTTTTAATGAAATTCAAGTAGGTTTTTTTCTTTCCGTATAGCAGCTGTCACCATGTTTCTCAAACCCTTATAGATGTTCCAATTATCACTCGTTTTGTACCGTTTATATTTCGCAAAAGCTGAATCTTTTGTCTTAATCATGATCTTCAAAACGTCAGTCTACCAGGGAGCTTTGGGTTTGCTTATTCGTGTCGTTATTATAGGGGCATAAACATCGAATACGCAAAGTAAATGATCGTTGAAAGTTTTTACAATTTCATCTGCATTTTCTGAAAGATATATATCATGCCATGGCATTTCCATGAGATCATTTAGAAAGTTATCATAGTTGAAATATTTATAATTTCTGAAAGTACGATAAGTATGTTTCATTTTCATTAATTGAAAAAATAACTCATAGAATACTTAACTATGATCGGAAATTATATCTGCATTTATTGTCTGTACGCTTGAAATATTTTCCGTATTGGATACAGCAATAGTATCAATCAGGGACGCAATTGAATTTGTTACTCTAGTCTAGTGGGTTCATCATTTACTATTGTTGAATCGTAAGCTTATAAAAAATCTATAAATTTGCGAGTGTTATTATTAGAGTTATTTAAAATATTCAAATTAATATCTCCTATAAGAATCAGTTCGTCTACAGTAGGTAGTATTTGAGGGATTGTATTTTCAAGCAAAGTAATGAATTCATTCACATCACTGTGAGGGGGTCTATACATTGCAACAACTCCTATATTTTACCATATCTGTTTAGTAACATCGTGAAAATTTTTGAATTGCAGGTTAATTCCTTTCGAAATTGTTTTAATTCTTCATAAATTGTATCATTCTTCATAGTTATAAATTGAACTCAAATTATTTATTCATTTCGTTATTTCAAGTGTGGAAAAAAGTAATGTATTTCATTCCATTGATATCAATTTTCATTTATTCGAATATTCATGAGTTCTGAACTAGAACCCGCCTTAATTTTTTTTCAGTACCATCGAAACTGAATGCAGAAAGTTTTATGGTGACATATACCGTGTGGGATTCATTGATTATTGAGATATGTGATATCCATGTTAGGCGATTTATGAGCTTTCTAGTCAATAACCATGAAATTATAAGATTAGTCGACTCAAAGAAGCTATTGGTGACCCACTTGACCAAATTTTAGGAGGTCTATTATTTCCTTAATTGAATTCACAGATTTCAGAAGCCATAAAATATTTCGTCATGAATTAATCAATCTAAAAAGTGAGTTTTCACAGATATTGGATTCAACCATGGGTATCACATCATTTGCTCGTGATTAGTATAACTTCAAAATAAAGATCGTTTTATATTTTCTGTGTAGAATATGATAGTAACTTTAATTAAAATAAAACTTGCATGAGAGATCAAATATTTCTATTTCAATTGTTCAACAATCACTTAGAAATCAATGAAAGAATATGCCCTTTAATTCTACCCTTAAGTTCTCTCCTAAAAAAATACTATTTCAATTTTATGGATATTTATTTTCATTTTCAAAGATATCTCCGATACTTTTGATAATTTTCTGTTGTTTTTTGAAAGCGAAGTTTCAAATGTTCACTGGTACTTCCAACAGGGATTTTCGAACTTTGACATTTGATTTTTTCATGGACAAGCACTACAGAAAAATCCTCAAAGCACTCTAGAGCGATGCCTGTGCGAAAGTGACGATTAACGATGGATTGGAATCGCTGGCGATTAAATTCATTTGGAAATACTTTCTGAGGGAGATTATTCCACATAAACAGTTTTACAAATGAAAGAGTTCCTGAAGAGGTATACTGTGTTGAATCTCAAAACGATGAGCAGCCACAGTCCGTCGCGTATTCCTGATATAGGGTGGAATCAAATGTGTCAAGTCACTTGAACACCTCACGTGGAAGTATCTATAGAAGAGAAACAAATCTCAAACTTTTCTTCGATGTTCCAGACAATCAAAGTTGCAAGTGATGTTCGTGTCTCCAATCAGATCAATGGATCTTTTCTGGATAGGATCCAGCAGCTTCAGGGTATGTTTGGAGGCGAAGTCTCAATCATGAGAACAATACCCCAAAGAAGGTCTGATCTGAGTTTTATGAAGCATCAAAATTTGCTGAGGTGTGTACAATTTTATGGTTCGAAACAGTATTCATAACTTTTGAGAAGCAGCCTTTGCAATTTCAGCGATATGATTGTGCCAAGACATATTGCTGTCCATTTCAACCTCCAACAAACTCATCGAAGCATAAAGCGAAATTGTCTGTCCTGACATTATTATATCCAGTTCAGAGACTTTTTCTTTGGAGAAAACCGATGCCTTGCCATTGAATTGAACCAGCTTACTTTCACCCCAATTTGGAATCACCTCTAGATCCTCATTAAGATATGCAACCTCCTGCTACCCGTGAAGATGTGCATCCGCATTCGATGTCCTGGAATCCAAATGGAATGACGAGACAAGTGTGCTGTCGTCAGCAAATGAATATATTGGATTCTTGGTTTTTCTCAATGAGTCGTTAATATACTACCATCTGAAGATAAACGACCATAGACAACAACGTGTGTTCGCTAAATGGGCTCTGGAGCTGTTGGCACCTGAATTCAATTTTCATCGAGAAATCATCTCAAGCAATGAGGCCCATTTTTGGATGAATGGGTACCTGAATAAACAAAATTGTCGAATTTGGAAGGATACCAATCCACATAAGATCCAAGAGCGTTCAATGCATCCCGAAAAAGTCACTGTTTGGTGTGGATTTTGGGCTGGCAGCGTCATCGGTCCCTATTTCTTTGAGAGCGACGTTGGCCAGGCCATCTTTGTTGACGGCGAGCACTATCTTTTGGCTCAAATTGGATGATCTGGGACACCAACGACATGTGGTTTCAACAGGACGGCGCTACATGGCACACAGTTCATGCCACATTGGATATTCTGCATGAGTGGAGGTGATGAAACCGGCCACCGAGATCTCACGATTTGACCCCGTTAGACTGTTTTTTGTTGGGTTTTCTCAGGTCTCAGAATCAAGGAGAAATGGATGTTTCGGATGCTCTCCACCCAGAGGAGTGAACGATGATATTCCATACATAAAAACATAGGTCTTTCAAATGAATGAAAAATGCTGATTATATCTCACACACACTCTGATCTATTAATGAAAGACTATTGAATACATTAAAATTACAATCAAGATATAAAATATATCGTTTGTTTCAAAAGATGTATAGACCATAAATATCGTCCTCATCATAAAATGAAAGTTATTGTTAATTAATCGTCTGCAATACTTATTTTTGAAGAATTTATTGTAACCTCTGAATGATGCTGACGAATGTCTTTCACAAAGTCTCTTGCTTGCTTTTGATATTTTTATTGTATGAAACTACGTTGGACAAAAAATTAGGCAAATACCTTCAGTGAACAATTGGATATTTTGTTGAAATGTACAGTGACGTGATGCCACAGGCATCATTAATTAATAATTCACAATTATTTACGTCAATTTCGATTGTGGTGTAACATAAGTACGTTGAAATATTCAAGTGACGTATTCCTCAGACACTTTCAAGGGAAAAAGTTGTCAACTATTCATTGACAAATTCATACTTCGAAGTTTATAAAGTGATTTTTTGGTACCATGTCCGACTTTACGAATGCTGAAGTGGCTGAGATGGTTTTTGCATCTCCAAATACAAAACTTCCATTCGAGGCTAAACTTTCATTCATCGTATCAATTTCCTTAAATGATTGTTAGTGATAACAAAATTCGAATATTGTCGCCAATCGAATTCGCGATATTTTTTTCTGATATATAAACGCATGAATTAGTGAAAATTTCCTAGAATTCGTAAATATTCATTTGTTGTGAGTTAGAACCGAATTTCTATTTATACGAGTATACATGATTGAATTGACACCGAAAGTCATTAGTGATTAACCACTTATATCACTAACTTTTACTAACTCACATTTCTGTACTAAAAATTACACTATTACAACTCTGATTGTGGGATTGTGACCAATAAGTGCAATGATATATACTTTTTTACAATCTGAAAATTGTAATGAAAACATTAGTAAAATGTTTATTACTTCATAGTACTTTCCATTCTAACAATTATTTATATTACATCACAAACGATGTATACTTTGAAAACTTCTCATAAAAAATGCTAAATGGTTTAGTTTAGTATAATTACAATACGTGTGAGACAAATAAACATTTTTAGTCGATATAAAGCAATATAATACACATGTTTATTTTTCTTGCACGAATATTACAAAATCACATCAATTTTTGTGAAGGTTCTAGTCTAAAATAAATATTATCAACTATCTTCAACAGGTACAGGACTAGCTAATATTTTGGTGTTCGTTTTCTTCTCTTATTAACGTAAGCTCCATATTCCTCATCTCCGTGATAGCCATAGTAGCTCATGGCCTCCTTGGTATCATCATTTCTAGAATAGGGGTTGTAAGAAATGACCCCTCCTTGATTTGATCTGTTTCGGAACATGTTGACCAACATCAGAATCAAGCCGATCTTGCCCATGAAGGCGCTTTTCACAAGCATGACGAACATAGAGATCATCATCATCGGGATCATCGTTGTTGATACCATGAAAGGCATTACCATCATTGGTAGCATTTTCTCCATGAATCCCTTATCTTCCTTGTTGTCATTTTTCTTTTTTCGAGATTCTGTAATAATACATAAAAGTAAAAAGTTGATGCTTAGGCAGAGGGTAAGCTTTTGAAGTAGTTTTCATTCTTTATTTCACTCAAGCAGGTACATTACAGTGTTTTTAAAATTATATTCAATGAAAATCGTTTGAAATTGAAATGTATCAGTTTGGAGTTGAACTCTTCAAATATAATTAAAGTGACATTCGTACAAAAGCTTTCTTGCGAAAAAATAAACATTATCTTATATTAATTATACTCGATATTATTATGCACTTTTGAATCCGTATTATTTCATTTTACATATTCTTTAGATTTCATATGAAGAAGCAATTGAATTGTTGATTCTCAAGGAAACAATTCTATTATATTCATCTGCATTTAAGTGCAAAAAGTTGATGATATACCACTTGGACAAGGGCATACTACAGTTCTACAGTATCTAAAATATTTTGAATGGTTTGAAACATCTTCAGATCGTCTGCAAACATGAGAAATATAAAATAAAAGAACAGAGGTACCATGTGAGATCCCTGAGACACTCCTGATTGTACTTCAATCTTTGAGGCAGAGTTTCCATATTTGACAGACTGCCAAGAAAACTCTCTTATCAATGTAAAATATTCTTTTTGTACCAATATCAGTAAGTAATTAGTGACAGAGAAATTGTTCAGTATAGAGGGAATAACCAATATTATTTTACTACAATGAAGATGTAATTTATTGATCAGATGAAGGACAATACCATCAGAACCTGTAATTGAGTTTACATAAAAATTTCAATTCCAAATCTATAATTTACCTCATATCTGTACTATACTGGCAGATTTCTGCATATATTGATATATGACTAGTCCTAGATATTTGAAAGAAGCCATTTTTTAAGCTAATTCTTGTGCATGCGTTTGTTAGAACAGAAAACAGTGGGTAATTGAATGAAAAAAGTTTTGGTTCACTAACAACTGACGTAAATGTGGCAAATGACGCTTTTTCTATGCCCAAATTGTTTATTCAGGTTTGATCGTGTGCATTTTTAGCATGTTTCAACAGTATATATGACCCCACTCCAAGTTTCTTCTACAGAGGTCGTTTCATCAACCTAATGAAAAAAGTGACTATCGATTTTTTTATTTTCCCAATGTTATTCAATGGAACAGAAAGAGTAATTTCTCTGTATAAAAATAGCAATGAACTGTTGTTCACATGTTTTTTTTGGTTTGTACATAACAACATCATTTAGACATATTGGCAGACGAGTTTTATTGATATTTTTTTTATTGTTCCAAACCTTTTGAATTGAATTTTTGAAAGAATGGTTCTACAAAAACGATATTAACAATATTTGTTTGATGGTAGTTGACAATGTTTCTTGTTGCATTTCATTAGTTCGAACTTCCATTGTCTAATATGATATAAATTGATTTGAAGTACCTGAAAGAATCTATAAAAATTAAAATAAAGAGATTAGCTGAAAAATAACAATTATATTTTAATGTTATGTTGATGAGTCCAAACGTGCTCTGCTATTCCTGATTTGCTGGTTTCTCTCGCTTTGTATATTTCTTATGCTCGGCCATGCGGACTTTTAATGGCCTCCTGGTTTCACCGATGTATGATTCTCCGCACTCGCAGGGTATCCGGTAAATGCAAATCGAAGTCCGAATTCGGTGGCCTGGTTTTTGAGAGGCTGCTACGGATAGTATTCCCAGATCTGAAGCAGGTTCTGACGTTACACTTTGAACCAATCCTTCTCATCCTTTCCGATAACCCCCAGATGTAGGGAAGTACAAGTACTGGTTGTGGCGGCTTCTCTTCCTTGTGGAGCTTTTGCTGTCTTCTAGCTGAAACCTGTTCTACTATCACTTTGGAGTAACCATTTCGTTGAAGGTTATTTTTGATGATGTATTGTTCCTATTCGAAACCTTCCTTTGAATTACAGAGCCCAAAAGCATGTTAATAGTTTCAATTTGTTTTTTGATTTTTTGGTTGTTGCTTGTATTTCATTTCATTTCAATTTCAGTTTTTTTGCTTGATACAATTGTTATTTTCCAGCTTATCTTTTTTTATATATTTTATTTTACAAACTTTTTCAGGTATTTCAAATCAATTTATATCATATTAGACAACGGAAGTCCAAACTAATGAAATGCATTAATAATATTGTTAAAGCCATCGTTAATAATAAATGCCTCTTTCGTTAAAAATTGACAATTCTAAAGGCGGAATGCATAAACATAAGCAAGTGCTTCAGTTCGACTTTTTTTCATCAGACATACATATTGTACAGGTAAAAAAATCAGAAAGGAAAACCATTTGCTCATGTTCACGCATCCTAGGCAATACTTTGCCTAAGAACCATGCAAAATTGAATAGTTTTATTATCTTTCATTAGATTTTATTTATAAGCTAGTTATCTCTATATTAATCAGTTGCTACTGAAGAACAGTCCATTCAGAATATATTCCATTCGTTTATTCAGAAAAATTGAACCTAATTATTTCATGAACAAGAAAACTAGAAATTATAGATTTCTTCCTGAGAATTCCTAAAGAAATACTTGTGGTAATCGAAAAGTGATTATTACCGAAAATTAAGAGCACACACTTGATATTTGCAATAAGTATGTGACCTCTCAGTGCTTTCACTTCCTTTACCAATTCACATCTTCCTGAGAAAGAAAGGCACTAATGAGGTGACTGTGAAAATAAAAGTCATTTTCTACTTATACAAACAAAATAAACAATCTTTATAGATTGTCAACATTGTGCACTTGTTACAGTATATGATGTGTCAACTATTTTCAACTAACAAACTACAATATGTACACATTTTTCATCAATGAAATATCGATAAGTAATTTCAAATACCTTCAATGAGAGTTCCATTTCCATTACCATTCGCACTATCAATCTCGAAAATTTCACTCAAAAGACCCTCTATCTCTCTTATAGTCCCATTGTTTTCAGCACTGGTTGTTGGTAAATTGTCTCTTTTCAAATCCACCGCTTCATTAGCTGCGTCCAAAACATTGCATAAACATCCGTGAACTTCAATTAAGAAAATCGCCGCGAGAATCCACAAACCGGAAAGCATGCTTTCGAATATAAATAGCCCGAATAACCAGATTCTTCGGTTTCACGTCATTATATTCTTTCTGACCATCTTGACGTAGCCCGGAAGGAGACTTGAGCTAAACTGGTATCGGACTAAGAGAATGTGCTCGTTTGAATTGCCGTTCTGAATTTCAACATTTGTCTACTTCGAAACGCTTCTTCATTCGTGTAATGTGTCTCGTTGAAATGGAACAATTTCATGGAAGGAGAGTTCGATTAGCTCGCATTTGCTCTGTGACCGTGACCTGGTAATCTGTTTCACTAGTGCCATTTTATCGAAACCCTAACCTTCAAGTCAGAAAATATCAATCAACCTGTCAGTCGTTTCAGAATGGCTCCTAAAAACTTTATGCAACTCTTGGAGAAGTGCCTGCAAAAATTCCTGAAGTTACAAACAGTTACAATGAAAAATCGATTTGTTTTTTGCAAATATCTCAAAAGATCTGTAAAGAGCCAAAAACTTCACCTCCCAAAATGTTATAATATTCATAAATTCAATTTCGAGAAGAAAGTTGGGCCTTGAACAAATAATGGTAACGCTTCTATGAGCATTGACCGCAAAAGTCACTTGAACAAAAAATTATTCGACTCAATATAAATAATGAGGAAAAATGTGTTATACATGCTTTCGCAATATGAAACTTTCGAAATGATTACCGCCTCACATAATTTTAGTTTGAGTCGTTTGGTGAGTAAGTTCCGATTTGGAAACACTTGCCTCAAGATATTAAAAGACGTTTGGATCAAATTGCTAAAGTGTTTTGTGAAGCGCAGTTCAGAATCAAACTAAAGGCTTAAGTTCTCTGCTTCAATTACAAAAGGCAGAACGTCATCGTTTATGTGAATATGAAGACTATTATTAGCAATATCTCGCTATGTTTTCGGTACAAAGATCATTACTGTCGACTTTTTGGAGTTCAACTTCAATTTATGAGCTGATGAAATATCAAAGATGCTCGGTAGATCACGATTGGGCAGGTTTTGAGCGGAATCAATGTCAGGGAATTGAAAAGAGAAGAACAGTTGAGTATCATCTGCGAAATGATGAATGTTGCATTTTTCTACCGACTAATGGAAGTCACAAAAATATGAGCGGAATAGTGAAGGACCAAGGATGGATCCTTGAGATACACCTTCAGTTACGGGCAGAGTCTCTGAGCTGATACCGTCCATCAACTCATCGAACCAACTCTTTGAGTTCGGTTTGATGAGTAATTTCAAAACAGAGACACCGCATTCACGAAAAAACGAAGAAGCTGAGTTTATCGCACAGGATGTCAAAGTCAAGTGTCGAAGGCTTAACTGTAGTCAAGAAGTGCTAAACGAGTTAATCCACTTTCGTCGACAGCCTTGAAGAGGTCGGTGATGGAAAGTAAAGCTGTGGTTGTGCTGTGTTGATGTCTGAAACCGGACTGCACGAGTGTGATGATTTTGTGGTCATTTATGAAGCCATAAATTTGGTCCTTCATGATCATCTCAACAACTTTCGAAAGACAAGGTAGGATGGTGATAGGCCTCAGGTCAGAGAAATCCGGAAGGGAGTTGCATTTAGTTGAAGGGATAATAACACCGTTGATCACACAACTTGAAAAAACACTCTTAGTTAAAATGTCAATAACGATGAAGGTTAACGGATCTAATAGATGACTATCTAAGAGATGGATCATTGGAAGTGAGATATTGTCTGAGCTGACTGCGTTACTTTTGAGAAGATTCAGGTAATTATGTATAACTGCAGACTGATAATTTTTGGTGACTAGTTTCTATATTATGAATTTTCAGTTGACTAGGATTCCAAATATTTTTTGGTAAATTACTCAAATCGTATTGAATATTGTATTGGCAACACACTGATTTGTAATTTAACTGATCATTTGTTTTGTAATACATTTGTAATTTTACAAACATTTCTAACAGTGTAGTTATTTCTTTTGTAGCGATTGAGATACTAGCCAGTTCTGTTTGGACCACGCTGGTATTTTTTCCTATTCCCCACTTAATCCTTAGGCTTAGTCATCTGGAGTACACTCCACATCCTGAGCCTTCAACATAATTATATACAGTAAAAACAGTACAAACTGAATGGGAAAAACTGATTTTTGTGTAATTCAATTTTCATATGGAAGTAGTTGTTTTCAAAGATATTTTTCCAGTTTGCATCCGGAAGAAATATCTAAGCATGATCATGAGTCAAGAGTATTCATTAAAAGCTTCTTCCTGAAGAGCTAATCTCTCCAAATAATACCCCCTTTTCAACCTTCATGGCATTTAAACATTTTCTGAACAATTGCATTGAATGGGTCACTTTTGGATCATTGATTTTCACTCATATTATTTTCAGCCACATTGAAGATTTTATTGAAAATTTCAACCAACAGAACAATTGAATAGGTATTTAGGATTTGAAATGTAAAGACATTTCTATCGAGGCATACAGATGTTCACCGAAAATATATAGAAGCACTAACAATAATTATCAATCAACACAGTCATGTCAGAAATATACCTGATCAAATATTAGGAAAGTTCGGTGAGGAAGCCTAAATAAAGCATTTTTTTGTAAACTAACTACGAACTTCATGGACAACTTGAAAAAATCTATGAGTGCTTGCGAAATATGAATGATTGAGTGCTACGCCGTAAACATTACGTAATTTCTATCAGATTTAAAGAGCAATCAAAGGAATGTTATTGTCATCCTGACAAAAATACAAACACGTTTGCTACAGTTATCACGATCAGTTGTGGCTTGTTAAAATAGCTGTTTCACTCTGATAGCAACATTCGCAACTGTAACTGAAATGAATATTCAACAGCTTGATTAGATATTCGCTTTTACCGAACCTCTCCAATATTAAATCAGAATCATTGACGCCTCTTTCGCGTGTATCTCTACCCAATAAAAAGTAACTCATTCGTTTCACTTCTCTTTTGATCTACTTTAACTAGCAAAACGTAGTTCAAGCAGTTCAGTGGAATGCATGATAAGAAATGAAGTAATGCCAGTAGCACAGTTACCGATGTGCATTTAAACAGTTACATGCATCTCATATTTATAGAGTTTTTAGTGAAAAGTTGACATGGAATTCACTTCTATAATGTCTGTCGCTTTTTTTTGGTTTATGTGGTTTTGTGCTGAAGTGTCTTCTGGGAAACTGGAAAACACAAAGTTTGTTGACGTAACTGAAGGTAGGTACGTTTTTTTTGTACACATCATTTTTCAGACGATAGAAATTATACCTAATCCTCAGAATGAATTGACCCAACAACTGAGTACTTTAAAATACGCTAAGGTCTGACACATCTGACAAACTTAGTAGTATTTTCCATTCTCATTGGAAAATGTAATTTGAAAAATATAAAAATTTTAATGGAGTAAAAATATCTGGAAAAGTTATTGAATGAATATTCGGAATGTTGTCCACAGAGATTTTGTACTATTCGTTTCCCACCCTCAGGCTTGTATGAACAAGCTAATAAGCCTGATGTAGTCCTTCTCGACCACCAGAGCAAAACGATATTTGTCATGGAGTTTTCAGACAAAATCCAAAACGAACTCCATAAATTTGAAACTTTACAACAAGTTGACTTCAGAGATGCGATCACTGAAAAATTCTGAATTCGAAAGGTCTATCAGAAATGTACTTTTAGATCACTGTTTTTATAGAATTAATGAATTTTTGAATAGTTAATAATCTATTGATTGATATATTGAACAATAATCCTTCACTGATATATTCATATTTGTGAAGTATGTTACTTTACAACATATTTTTAATGTGTACGTTTTACTATATTGTGCTGTCCTTTCAAAACTGAATGTAACAAAAAGTTTTTTATTGATTTATATATATACCACGTCTCTCTAAGACCATTTTTGATATATGACATGCTGTAAACTTATTGTAAAACAGTCAAATAAATCTATCTATCTATTGAAAAATCGTATCCCATTATAGTTTGTACTTTTAAATAAGTCACCATGCCTCGTAGCATAGTCATTAGGGTTAGAAATCTTCAAAACACTCTTGATGTTGAGTTTTAGATATGTTTCAGTTTTATAAATGTAAATCGATGGGACCGTCAGTAATTTAAGCTTTTTAAAATTATTCCTACACGTCAATAGATAATCTAAGCCAAAGATAAGACGAATTATTGACTGATATAAAGATTAGACGAATTAGTCTTTTTTGACTGATATAAACTCTGCGAGCATTGGCCATATTTTCCTAAAGGACAATATTGTAAGAAATATGTAAATATGAGAGAGCATGGTACACATTTATTATTTGCTCTGGTGTGAATATATTTTTCCGCTGCAAAATTGCTTGATAACTAATATTTAGTCTCTTACACACCTGATGTATGTGTATTCCACTCAAAATTTGCATCTAAATATGTGCCCAGAAATTTTATTGAATCCGAAAAATATATATTTTTGTTGTTAACGCGAAAAAAATAATCATTTGAGATTCTTATACTAGAATAAAACTGTAGACATACTGTTTTGTGAGGATTGACAATTAAGGAATTGTTACTACACCAATCAGTAAATTTTTTCGACAAACTATTCATTTTCCGCACAAGTTCTATTACACCTTGTTTAATACTTTTTTCCGCACAATTTTTTTAAATTTTTGTCAGTGCTGTTTTCTGATAGTTTATTGTGTGATTGACACTTCGGTGCTTCGCTCAAATATTACGAATTCGAATGGGATTCAGAAAAATTCAATTGATTTTCGACGCCATATTCTGACAAGAAAACATGAATTCAAGAAATGAGTTAGCTGCTGCTCATCTGTATCTGTAGAGTAGGGAGGGTGAGTGTAGACCCACAGCACTCAGGCCACATGTGACCCATTGTACATCTTCCCAAGGAGTTATCCTCCTAGGTCATCATCCATCCTGTCCTTTCCAGGAATGTGAACAGGTCACTAGGAGACATCTCCTTTATATTGGCAAGTGTAGGCCAAAACTCGCCGAACACACACTCTCTTTGGCAACCTTGAGGTGTCTCACGGTGACCTACATGAAGGTTTTGGAAGGTGCAGCGATATTACTGTCGTTGCGCGGCTTCTTCGACCTTCTTGGGGTTCCCTCCGTGGAGGTGTACAAGTGAGGGAGCTTTCCTGCAGGGGCAGCCGGTTTTTTCCCTTTATTC